CACATGTATTGCTAAATATTTGCTTTTTTTCAAAACACGCCAAATTTCAATAAAAGGTGCAAAAAACACATTTTCTCGTCAGATCCTCCAAAGATAAAATAAAGAAAACTGCTTCAAAAAAGATTAGAAATTCCTGGAAACGAACAAAAAAGAGAGAAATCCATTTTCTTTAAAAAAAAACGAAAACCAAATTTGAGGTGAGAAAAGCTTCTATATTGAAATTACTCGCTTTTCGCTTCTTTCTTCAAGCTCTTAAAATATGTAAATTTAGTCACGACTTTCTATACAAAAAGCTGCATACTGAAAAAGATTAAAATGCACATTATTCTCTTTGTTAAATGCGCTTCAAGGATAGTAAACTGCTTAGAGTGGATTTTTCGGCAGAGAGTGAACTAAAAATTTTTGAGCATTTTTCTTTTTGTGAAAAGGGCAAAAACTAACATTGACATCAAAATAATCAAAAAGACGTGCTCAAAAGATATCGATTTTCCGTTCAAAAAAAAAGGCTCAAAAAGCTCTAATTTCATTTTTCGGTTTTTCTTGAAATGTTCCCTTTTACCTGCCACCAATGCTCGTCGTTGCACACGAGGAGCTCCAGAATGTCGCCTTTTCTGAAGGCCAAGGCGGCCTCGGGACAGGGATGTCTCGGTGTCTTTTCGAGCCGTCGTAGTCATACTACAAAATGAAATATAAAAATCAGTGAAAAAGGGAATTTTGGAGTTTCTGCTAGTTCATTTTCGGCTTGAAACGGGGGAATGCTTCATTAAAATTTTTGACCAAGTTCCCTGTTGAAAAAGCTAATAGGAGGAGTGTTCTTGGCATTTTATTTTGACAGTTTTTCTGCCTGTCTGCAGTCTCTCTGTTCCCTCACCTCGAGGTCCGAGAAACATGGAAATAGCATGTCAACATGAGAGGTCAGCTGATAGACAAGGAGGGCGTCTAGAGAAAGCCCAGCATTTTCAAAGCAGAATCGCGCAAAATGTCCCGAAAAGGGCCCGCCGTTTTCAAGCCGGGGAGAGCAACGGGCCTTGCAAAGCCCTGAGATGGATATGCGACTGATCGGGTTGATTATTCTGTGGGTTGGAGATTTCCGCGGGGATGAGTTTGAAGCGACGGCGCAGCCGCCGTCGCAGCGATTCAGGAGGGCGACGATCTCGTCCGCCGTCTTGTCCGCCACGCTCACGTTGTTCACCTCCAGCACCCGGTCGCCTTCCTGCAAAATCCTCTATCTACAAAACAAACTGCTCATTTGGAATAATCGATTGAAACTAAAAAACTTATGAGACTCTTAGGAACCCCAGAGTGGTCCTTACATAGGCAGTTCTAGGGGCCTGAAGGGACCACTTTGCCTGCCCCTATAGGGGCCACTAAAACTTGCAAAAGCCGTCCCTAAGGGGTTTTTAGTCTGTCACCCTCATAACCCCTCTAGGCACCACTTTGCCCGCCCCTATTGGACGCACTAAGCTTGCAAAAGTGACCGCTACAGGAATTTTTGGCCGGTCACCTTGATAGCCTCAGACACCACCTGGGTTGACCTCTAGCTTTCCATTTTCCCTTAAAGTTTGTCAGTCACCCCTGCACTTGGCTCAAGAGTGCCAGCACCACAGATCTCTACAGGGGCCACAATGAGGCTTTGCAAAAGTCATGGGGATTTTGTGACAGCCGGTGACCCTAATAAGCCCGCTAGACTTTGCTGACCTCCTATCCGGACACTGAAACTTCCAAAAGTAGTCCTTAGGGGTTTCAGTTGGG